TGCTCTCAGCCAATGAATGACCTCCTATGAACATAAACATGCGCAGAATTACCATCAGCCTGCACGCAATCTCTCATTCTTGGCAGGATAACGGCTCTGCCAGAGGGGAAGTTACACCTCCAGCAGCAAAGGGGATACATTCTGCATGTGCAATGTTTCAAACTACAGTAAACACGTTCTAAGCACCATCACCACTTCAAAACACTGAAGTGGTTATGGTGCTTGGAGTAACTCTTTAATCATTTTAAATAGATTCAAAGTTTTTTATTAAGGCTGTATGTAGATCTGTTACGGTCTATAAATAAATCGTAAACAGAGCACAGGCTGGAAAGCAAACCAGTTGTTTGGATTTAATTTCTATGAAACACTCCTAGATGGATCGCGGCTGCGTAAGTCTTGATCACTTTTAAGCCATGGGTTTTGAGGAGAGTAATAACAAATGGAATGGAACAAAAACAAGTTCTATTTTTTTACAGTTTTATGGATATTTTGTTTTGTGGTTTTCCCCTTCCCGGTAAAAAGTTCACAACCTTCCCCTGCTCCCGTGAGCTCACTAGGAAACCTCTGTGAATGACAAGCGTAATTTATTAATATTCCATCAGATCTGAACCGCTACCCCTCAGCGCAACTCTCCACACAGAAACATCGTGACATCTCTCTCTACACAATCTCAGACAGTTAGCGGTCTGTTTAACTAATTAGAGAGCACGATCGCACAGATAGCAGCCGGCTCTGCTTCTTAAGGGGAAACTGCATATTTATTATATATACAAATACTGTGAATTAGTCAAATGATTTGACTTTCATGTTAGAATGGGGTATATAGTTCAAATTTTGATTTTAAGAACCTTGCTATCTACAGTACTGGCTCTACCTTACAACATTATTTCTGTATTTATTATTGCCATTTATATAGCGCCAACAGATTCCGTAGCGCTTATCTCACTGACAGCAGCCATTTTGGCTCGGCAGCACGATAATTCCACCAGTTACTTTATTCTTGATATGTTCAGCCTGGTTTAGAAAGAGAATGAGAAGGAGGGGGTGAGCGCAGGACAGATTAGAGGATAATTACATAAAAGACACAGAGAGGCATACGGCGGAGAGTTAGCACAGCTAAATATCCTGAAATATAATAGATAAATAGACTATGAAACCTAAGCAATACAGAGACAAAAACAAATTAAAGAGTTAAAATAATGGCAGAATCTCGAAAGCTGTAATACTGTACAAACACCCAACACCAACAGTACATTTACTAAAACAAATATTTCAAAAAGGAGACAGATCCACTTTAATGTAACAAACGGCTTAACGACTGAACAATCACTTCTGAAGGGGAGACACCTGGAAAACATGATTGGAGGTGGGTTCAGGACGGCAGCTGTGAATTGGCTCCGATTGATTCCATTTATTGACTGATATTCCAATGTGGAGAGAGAACCCACTTGAGCTGTCTTGAAATGGCCAAGAGTCAACTTGTGGGTTAAGTGCCAATTGCTCAGCATGTGCCACTAGTGACCATTTCAGCCATGAAAAGGCTGTGCTATAGCCATGGACATGACCACCGCGGCGGTAGCAAGCTGAGCTGGGTCGTACACTGAGCACTGCAATCACTAGTCTTGCAGAGTACACTTACCTTGCATACATGTGGAGGAAGAGACTAATAACAAATACAGCATACATTCACACACACTGACCCTCTGCACAAATACAGCCTGCATTCACACGCATTGACCCTTCGCACAAATACAGCCTGCATTCACACACACATAATAACTCCACAAAAATACAGCATACATTCACACACACTAACCCTCCGCACATATACAGCCTGCATTCACACGCATTGACCCTCTGCACAAATACAGCCTGCATTCACACGCATTGACCCTTCGCACAAATACAGCCTGCATTCACACACACATAATAACTCCACAAAAATACAGCACAAAATACAGCTGATACAAATTGCACACAGCATGACCCTCATTCACACGCATTGACCTCAAATACAGCCTGCATTCACACCATTGACCCTTCGCAAATTGACAGCATACATTCGCACAAATACAGCCTCACACGCATTCACACACACATAATAACTCCACAAAAATACAGCATACATTCACACACACTGACCCTCTGCACAAATACAGCCTGCATTCACACACATTGACCCTTCGCACAAATACAGCCTGCATTCACACACACATAATAACTCCACAAAAATACAGCATACATTCACACACACTAACCCTCCGCACATATACAGCCTGCATTCACACGCATTGACCCTCTGCACAAATACAGCCTGCATTCACACGCATTGACCCTTCGCACAAATACAGCCTGCATTCACACACACATAATAACTCCACAAAAATACAGCATACATTCACACACACTGACCCTCTGCACAAATACAGCCTGCATTCACACGCATTGACCCTTCGCACAAATACAGCCTGCATTCACACACACATAATAACTCCACAAAAATACAGCATACATTCACACACATTAACCCTCCGCACATATACAGCCTGCATTCACACGCATTGACCCTTCGCACAAATACAGCCTGCATTCACACACACATAATAACTCCACAAAAATACAGCATACATTCACACACACTAACCCTCCGCATATATACAGCCTGCATTCACACGCATTGACCCTTCGCACAAATACAGCCTGCATTCACACACACATAATAACTCCACAAAAGTACAGCATACATTCACACACACTGACCCTATGCACAAATGCAGCCTGCATTCACACACATTGACCCGTCGCACAAATACAGCCTGCATTCACACACACATAATAACTCCACAAAAGTACAGCATACATTCACACACACTAACCCTCCGCACATATACAGCCTGCATTCACACACACATAATAACTCCACAAAAATACAGCATACATTCATACACACTGACTCGGCGCACAAATACAGCCTGCATTCACACACACTGACCTACACACAAATATAGCCTGCATTCACACGCATTGACACTCCGCACAAATACAGTCTGCATTCACATGCATTGACACTCCACAGAAATACAGCCTGCATTCTCACACATAGTAACTCCACACAAATACAGCATACATTCACACGCATTGACCCTTCGCACAAATACAGCTTGCATTCACACACAATATCTTTTTTATCTTAATAATATCTCAGCATATAGCGGTTATGGCAGATGAAGTCACAGTTTGGATAGTAAATCAGTAGGGCATTATATTAATATCTCTTTTATAAACTGGGCAAATGGAAAAAGAGATAACGGACACACATAACGAATAAATCCCAGAAGATCATACTGTCCATGGAAACAAAAACGGCACTATTACATAACTATGCCAATAAATATATCTCTAAATGCGTAAAAATAATCCGCTTATTTATGAAAAACGTATAAAGCAGGTCGGCGGAGATTGCTTTTTGCCCTCGGGCATCGCACTGCGCAGACAATCCGCTCTTTCATCAGATCCACATATTTTACATGCAGAAACAGCCGCAGTGTCCGCGGAATACGGCAGATAATGGCAATAAGAGCATTCATTTAATCTCTAATTGCTGGCGTTTTGTGTGCGGGACTTAATTAAGGTAAATGAAGGGACAATTATATTTAAATGCATCACACAGCACATGGAACAGAAAGACATGAACAATGAGAGACAAACAGCAGGAAAACGATAATCTCAATACAACAGACAGACAGCATTCAGATAAGCACAGACAGGTATATAGACAGACAGACAGCATTCAGATAAGCACAGACAGGTATATAGACAGACAGACAGACAGCATTCAGATAAGCACAGAAAGATATATAGACAGACAGACAGCATTCAGATAAGCACAAACAGGTATATAGACAAACAGCATTCAGATAAGCACAGAAAGATATATAGACAGACAGACAGCATTCAGATAAGCACAGACGGGTATATAGACAGACAGACAGACAGACTTCAAATAAGCACAGACAGGTATATAGACAGACAGACAGCATTCAGATAAGCTCAGACAGATATATAGACAGACAGGCAGCATTCAGATAAGCACAGATAGATATATAGACAAACAGCATTCAGATAAACACAGAAAGATATATAGACAGACAAACAGCATTCAGATAAGCACAGACAGATATATAGACAGACAGACAGCATTCAGATAAGCACAGAAAGATATATAGACAGACAGACAGCATTCAGATAAGCACAGACAGGTATATAGACAGACAGACAGACAGACTTCAGATAAGCACAGACAGGTATATAGACAGACAGACAGCATTCAGATAAGCTCAGACAGATATATAGACAGACAGACAGCATTCAGATAAGCACAGACAGGTATATAGACAGACAGACAGACAGACTTCAAATAAGCACAGACAGGTATATAGACAGACAGACAGCATTCAGATAAGCACAGACAGATATATAGACAGACAGGCAGCATTCAGATAAGCACAGATAGATATATAGACAAACAGCATTCAGATAAACACAGAAAGATATATAGACAGACAGACAGCATTCAGATAAGCACAGACAGGTATATAGACAGACAGACAGCATTCAGATAAGCACAGAAAGATATATAGACAGACAGACAGCATTCAGATAAGCACAGACAGGTATATAGACAGACAGACAGCATTCAGATAAGCACAGACAGGTATATAGACAGACAGACAGACAGACTTCAGATAAGCACAGACAGGTATATAGACAGACAGACAGCATTCAGATAAGCTCAGACAGATATATAGACAGACAGACAGCATTCAGATAAGCACAGACAGATATATAGACAAACAGCATTCAGATAAACACAGAAAGATATATAGACAGACAGACAGCATTCAGATAAGCACAGACAGGTATATAGACAGACAGACAGCATTGTCTATATACCTGTTTGTGCTTATCTGAATGCTGTCTGTCTGTCTATATATCTTTCTGTGCTTATCTGAATGCTGTCTGTCTGTCTATATACCTGTCTGTGCTTATATAGACAGACAGACAGCATTCAGATAAGCACAGACAGGTATATAGACAGACAGACAGCATTCAGATAAGCTCAGACAGATATATAAACAGACAAACGGATATTGAATAGGTAGACAGACAGACACATTGATACAGATACTCTAAAGGTAGACAGACGGACAGACAGATTGATATAGATATTGTAAAGATAGACAGACAGATTGATTTAGATATTGTACAGACAGACAGATTGATTTAGATATTGTACAGACAGACAGACAGATTGATATAGATATTGTATAGACAGACAGACTGGCAGATTGATATACATATTGTACAGACAGACAGATTGGGTGGCTACAAATATATAACTAATGACATGTAAGTACGTGTGTGTGTGTTTGTTTGATTGTGTGTGTGAGTTTGTGTATATGTATGTCAGTATGTATGTGCCAGTGTGTGTGTCAATGTGTATTTGAGTGCGTGTGTATGTGCCAGTGTGTATCTGTAAATCAGTGTGTGTATCTGTGTGTCAGTATGTATGTGCCAGTGTGTATCTATGTGTCAGTGTGAATCTGAGTGTGTGTGTATCTGAGTGTGTGTTTCAATGTGTGTGTATGTGTGTGAAGGTGTTGCATGTTGGGATGTCTGGTATAGATAGACAGACAGATATAGCTATTGTATAGATGGGTAGACAGATATAGATATTGATTAGCTAGGCAGATAGACAGACAGATTGATATAGATATTGATTAGCTAGGCAGACAGACAGATTGATATAGATATTGATTAGCTAGGCAGACAGACAGACAGATTGATATAGATATTGATTAGCTGGCAGACAGACAGACAGACAGACAGACAGACAGATTGATATAGATATTGATTAGCTAGTCAGACAGACAGACATATGGTGGAAGATAAACAGCATGGAAATTGTGTCTATCATTGAATATAACTGGTTACTAATAAACAATAATCTTTGGGTTATTTTTACCTAAAACGTCTTGTTGTGCGAGAGGTTTGTATTTATATACTATCCTGGTTAACGTGCAGTCTGTATCGTTGACAGAATAGAATAAAAATCTGTTCATAATGACTTAGTGGTGCCGAGTGTCTAAATTGCTTTAAAATGCCTTAAAATACAAACAGACAAAAACTGCCTAGGGTGTCGTTCACAGGAAGGGTTATCCAGAAAAGCTGAGTTACTCATTATAGGCCAAAGAATTGAAACGTGAAGCTGGCCTACAGAATATTTCCCAATTCTGGCTTATTTAGACCCAAAATATAAAATTCGTATAAATACAGCGAATTCCAGACAATCAACACGTTTATTAATAACCATGTAAAATGCAAACTCAGGAGATTTTAGCCCCAAATAACTGGCTATTTTTTCATTTTACCCACTGTGATATATAACCTGCAATTTGTGCTCACTCCAATAATTCGTAACAGGCACAGAAATATTTAATTCTGTTCTCCTTAGAATTTCTCTATTCTTAGATTTTTCCGTGGTTCATCCTATCGCTTGTGTCCTTGGATCGTCCTTCAATGAACAGAAAGTTTTCTGGAGTTCTGCTCTCACACCTCTTCACACATTGGTTGAGAAGTAGTTAAGGAGGGCAATTACACTAAAGATCTCCCTTAAGTATTTTTCTTGCCTCTCTTTCTTAAATCAAAAGCTGTTCCTTATCTCTTACAAGCAGTGAGATTTCTTTGTCACTATTCATCCCACAACAGCAGACAATTAGCTTTGTTTATAGGAAAAGAAGGCTTCTCAGGAACCAGGCCCAGCACACATGAACACGTCAATCATTCAGGAGTCAAGGGTTCTAGAGAGGATCAGTGCTGCGGGGCGGTAATTGGGAGGGGGTAAGGGGGAGCTGTCAATGACAGCCAGAGCATTGTGCCAAATCTACACCCAGGGGACCTATTTAACAAAATGCTACAGTCCTAGCTCTATGGGGGAGTAAAGAGAGAGAGAGACGGATAGATAGATAGATAGAGATAGATAGATAGAAAGAGTAGATAGATAGAGATAGATAGATATAAAGAGTAGATAGATAGATAGAGTAGATAGATAGAGATAGATATAAAGAATAGATAGATAGATAGATAGATAGATAGATATAAAGAGGAGATAAATAGAGATAGAGAGAGATAGATAGATAGATAGATAGATAGATAGATATAAAGAGTAGATAGATTGATAGATAGACAAATTGATAGATAGATAGATTGATAGATAAATTGATTGATTGATAGATAGATAGTGATATATAGATATAAAGAGTAGATAGATAGATAAATAGAGATAGATAGATAGAAAGAGTAGATAGATAGAGATAGATAGATATAAAGAGTAGATAGATAGATAGATAGATATAGATAGATAGATAGATAGATATAAAGAGTAGATAGATAGCGATAGATAGATAGATAGATAGATAGATAGATATAAAGAGTAGATAGATAAATAGAGATAGATAGATAGAGTAGATAGATAGAGATAGATATAAAGAATAGATAGATAGATAGATAGATAGATAGATAGAGATAGATATAAAGAATAGATAGATAGATAGATAGATAGATAGATAGAGATAGATATAAAGAATAGATAGATAGATAGATAGATAGATTGATTGATTGATTGATAGATAGATATATAAATTGATTGATAGATTGATAGATAGATAAATTGATAGCTAGATTGATAGATAGATAGATAGATAGATAGATAGATAAATTGATAGATAGATATAGATAGATAGATAGATAGATAGATAGATAGATAGATAGATAAATTGATAGATAGATAAATTGATAGATAGATAAATTGATAGATAGATATAGATAGATAGATAGATAGATAGATAGATAGATAGATAGATAAATTGATTGATAGATAGATAGATGCACAAAAATAACTTACATGGGAATATGTACATAATTAAAAAATAGAAGAAGATATAATAATAATTTTTGTCACTCTCTTGGATAAAGGAGAATCACCAAATAAAATAAATAAAATCACACCTATGAAGTTAATCTTTAGATCTGAGTGGAATTAAAGAAAGTTTAGCTTTCCAAACTGGCAGGGCAGCTTTCGACTTTCTGAATACAATTTAACTGAAACAGATCAAACTCCCGGAGAAATCGACAGATAAATGTGTTAATTGAGAGATCAACGTTACGGATTCCACTGGCAGCGGACATTCTATCCCGGATTATTCTGTTTGTGTAGCTCTGATAATGACTTCAATGTGTAGCCTTCAGATTTATAGCAAAAAGACATTCTTTGCAAAACAGTTCCAGTTTTGTTTTTTTTTACAAAAATAAAGGCATATAAATATATCTGTGTATCCCTCTCAATAAATATATAGATTTATATAATGTTAGTTTGTACACAGTCACTCAAACACATTTTAGAAATAAAGACACAAAGTATGAAACTAAAACTTAATATATTATTTTATCTAGAAGAATTTAAAAAAAAACACAATAATTTTTGCACTAAATATGCATACATATGGACAGTGAATTTTTATCTTGTAAAACAGACATTTTAATAATTGGAAAAAAAAATTTCCTTTACTGCACTGCTATTTTTCATTCAACAGAACTTACTAAAACATTATATATCCTTCCTAATCACCATTCAGATTTTGTTCACAATCACACACTAAAAATATTTTTTACACACCCCACCAATTTCATTTGCTAGGTTTTGAAACGTAATGTGGAGATATTTAATTTGCCTTTGTTAAATTATGTATTTTGGGGATAGTGCTATACAAAATGGTTTTACTTACATTTAAAAATAAAAAAAGTTACTCAATATATAAATATTCTGCTCAAAAAGATTTTAAATATACAACTATGATATACGAATAGAAATTAAAATTTTCCAATTAATAAGTCCATAATTTGTTCATTTGATTATGGTATGAATAATTTAGCCAAATTATGTATTCAGATTTTATAGAGTCTTGTATTTTAAATAATTTTTAAATAAAAAAAATATGTATAATAGTCACTTATTTAAGCACACGTTCTTAGAGTTTACCGACTGCCTACATTTCTTATCAAATAGTGCATGAATTGTGTGAAAATAACAAAAGTTTAAATGTATTCATATAATATCAGTTCAGAATATTGCAATTGTGAAATTATATTAATATATATACACATATATGTACACACACCCCACACACATACATGCATATATACTAAAAATATGTATTTTAATAACTAACCAGCATATTCAGGAACATTGTACGATCTGTTTATGTCAAGTTAACAGGCACAAGCATACATTTTTTGATTATACCGTACTACACAATTAAGGCCCCAATTTAATATTTTTTTTATAAACTTGTAAAATAATGTAATATTTTGAAAGGTATATTAATGTAAACAAGTTTTTATATATTAATAAAAATGTTTATATAAATATATATATACATATATTAGATTTTTATTTTATTTTAATATTTTTTTAAAAAAAAATAGTTTATCCAAAGATATGAAATAATTTGAAAAGCTTATAAAAAATATTAAATGGGGGGCCTACATTTTCTAACACTACCAGTGTAAAAAGGTCTAACTGTAGCATTATTTAAGTAGGGAAACATGTTTTCGTTATGAATGTGCTCTTGTCCATCAATACAATTTGGTGCTATGTAGTACTCTTTGATTCTAGTCTGTTTCTTTTAGCCCTTTTTTACCTTTTGACAACTGAGTACAGAAGCAGGTAAGTGCATGTAGGTATACATTTAATAGATATATTTACATGGTCAGAATTATGGTGGGATGTGACACCAACAATTAGATACACTGTAACACTACATATCCACTATATTAATCTATATAAATATACTTATTTTCACTGATAGGTTTAGCTCAATGAAAGCATTATCTGTTTTCCCAATAAACAGATATCAAAGAATTGTGGAAATTGTGAAGAATAGACCGGGGACTGCACATTTTAGACCAAAAAGCTAAATCTGAAAAACAATTAAATATAAAATAAAAATCCCTAACCGAGTTTTTTTTCTAACGTGCTTGTTTTGCCGTGAAATTTGTCTTGTCGGTTCTTT